TTTGACTGCAAAACAAATGAAAATAAGGCCAAAACACATATTGTACACAATTAAAGAACTAAATTATGTGGTGAAAAATCTAAAATCTAGCCTCAGAATGAATCAGTCCCTCGTCTAAGCTTGTTGGACAGGCTGAAATGCAAGGTTTACCTCCCAGGACTTGCTGCTCGACAGTCCTCCCCTCAGATTCAGCTCTGCCTCCCAAGTAAGCAAGATACTGCATGAGCAATTTTGTTTCAAAATGATATTGTTGCAAGTGGTCCCATTAGTAGTTAGGCAATATTTTTCAAACCATTGTGAAAGACTCAGGTTTCTATCAGTCTGTCTTTCCTGTGATGTAGGAAAATAGCTCCAGACTCTTTGGGCCTTACTACAATCTCTTAAAATGTGAATGGTTGTCTCAACAAAGTTTTTACACCTATTGCACATAAGATCATCTGTCATACCTCTGTCGGCTCTAAGTTTATTTGAGGGGATTCTATCATGGAGGACAAGCCAAAGAAAAAACTTTAACTCCTGAGGAATTTCCATTTCCCAAATCTGTTTCCATCTCTTATCAACGACAGTGAAAGAAGTGTTATCAGTAAGGAGATTATAATAGTTTTTGGATGAAAACTTACCATTGGCTGCCTTACCCAAGGATATAGAATCAAGTTGCTGGCTGAATTGTGGCAGTGGAATGAACAAAATCTCTTGAACAATATTAGGAGGAAGAATCATACCTGTGGATTGCAGATTCCAGGATCCATCTGTGCCAATGAAGTTAGCCACCTTAACCTCTGTATCAATATTCGTTTGGGGATTCAGTTGCTGCAGAAGTGGTTTTCCACCAACCCACCAAGCTTTCCAGAAGTTAATGTTTTGTCCATCACCCACAATCCATTTTATACCTGCTTATAACGGGTTACAAATTTTCAAAATAGCATTCCATATGGGAGATGCATTGTTCTTTTTTTTCCAAGGTTCAGTGTTCATAGCAATGTATTTACTTTTCATAATCTCAACCCATAAGGATTTATTATTATTAGCTCTAAGTTCCCAACCTAGTTTCCCTAGGAGTGCTGCATTATTATCTCTGTTCTTCCTTAATCCTAGACCCCCACTAGCTTTGGGTGAACACACTTTGTCCCAGTTTAAGTAGTGAATTTTCCTCCTCTCTTCTGTGTCCCCCCATAGAAAATTTCTATTCAGTCTATCAATTTGATCACAAATGGACTGGGGAACCCATTGAGTTTGCATAGCATAGTTAGGGATAGTAGCAGTGACAGCCTGAATCAGGGTTGCCCTACCTGCTATGGTCAAGTTGTTAGCTTTCCATCCAGAAAACCTTATCTGAATTTTTTCAATAATGTCTTTAAAATGTTCTTTGGATTCTTTTTTTTATGTAAAACTGGTATTCCTAGGTACTTACCTAGATCCCCAATTAAAGGGAAGCCAAGGATCCTACCAACTTTAGATGCTCTTCCTCTTCTTACATTTGGGGAAACATAGACTTTAGATGCTCATCTTAAGCCCAGATATCATACAAAACTCATCAAGAACTTTCCTTAACATATGACAGTCTTTATCCTGGGCTCTTGAAAATAGAATAATGTCATCAGCAAAGATAAGGTGTGATATCACAGGACCTCATCTTTCTGCTTTAAGTCCGTTCCAGTTCTTCAGCTGCACTTGTTCATTTATCATATGACTTAGCCTTTCCATGCAAAGAACAAACAAATAAGGGGAAAGAGGGTCCCCTTGTCGAAGACCTCTTTTGGGAACAATTGGCTCTAAGGAGGAGCCATTCCATAAAATAGACAGCTCAGTCTTTGTTACACAGTTCATAATGAGATCAATCCAGCTCCTAGGAAAGTTGAAATGAGTAAGGGTTCGTTGTAGAAAAGACCAACTGACTCTATCATAAACTTTTTCAAGATCAATTTTAAGAATCATGCTTCCCACTTTACCTTTCTTCTTTCTTAAACAATGTGCAATTTCCTGTGTAATGATTATGTTGTCAATCATCTGCTACCTGGGATAAAGCTGCTTTAATAAGGACCAACCGGCTTATCCAGCTTGGGTCTCAGCCTGGTTACTAAAAGTTTAGTCACAATCTTGTAGCTGACATTGCACAGACTAATGGGTCTAAACTGAGAAATTAACATTGGACTCTCAATCTTGGGGATAAGAGCAATCCAGGTTTTGTTCAATTGTTCTGGGCATCTGTTCTGGAAAATGTCTGTTACATTCTCACAAACATTAGGACCCACAATGCTCCTCACAAATTGATGAAGTAGCTGAAGGTTTTGTTCAAGTGATCTGAAGGTCGGATCCAATATAATAGACGAAGTAGCACTATCTTAACACTATAAAATCAGTATGTAACATTATATAAAAGCAGTAGCACTTTGTTAACATCATATAAAATCAATAGCACTATGTTAACATTATATAAAAGCAGTCACAATAGCACTATGGATTTAGTTACACGTTAAAGGTAGGTATTATATCAAGCCCAACAGTCTGTCAAATACATTAATGATTGAGTTCACAAATATCAAAACAATCAATAAAGAGAATATAATATAGAGAGATTGAGTTCACAGTAGCACCTGAAAAAGGTACACGAGGACAAAGGACCACAAAGCTGCACAGAAACAGTTAGCATTGTTGCAATGAAGGCTAGAATCACATATAAATGTATGTTAGAAAAGGATATCCATGTTGAAGAAAAAAGATATCCATGGTGCATAGATGAAGTCAACAATAAAAACAAAACAATAAAATCAATTTAAAGCATACATGAAGAACTTAGTTTCGATGACCATAATGAAGTCAACAATACCGGATTTTGCAAACACAACTTGGACCCAAGTCAATTCTAAATCTGAATTAACTAAATCGGATAAACTAATCTTAAGATCAGCCAACACAAATATCCACTTGGTTCATTTTATCATGCAAAAGATATTAAAAGCATAAAAAATGAGCCCACCGTCCATAAGCAAAGGGCTGAAGGAACTTTTTGAAACAAAAAAAAATATCGGTTTGACAATTTATCGAACAGGTGATACACAGGACCTAGGAAGAACAGGAAGGGGTTGTCGAGTGGGGTTATGATTGTGAAGAGAGAGTGAGAAAATGAGATGATTAAGGGAGAAGAGATGCGTGACAAAGAGAAAGGAGATGCGTGAGAGAGAAATGAGAAATGATTGAGAAGGATACCTAAAATAGCATGTGGCTGGGCAGCTACTGGCTGTCGTTGGCAATGAATGTGCAACGGCACAAAAAGAGAGGGATAATGGGCGGTTGTCGCTGGCGGTGAACTGAGAGAACAGACGCGTCACTGCTGGGCATTGGGCAGTAGCACAATAGGGAAGAAGGTAGAGAGGAAATAGAGTTAGGGGGAGATGATCATAAGCACATAGAGAGAGGGAGAGTGGCCAAAGAGGAGATGCGTGAGAGAGAGGAGATAATTGAGAAGGATACCTGAAATAGGCAGTGGCTAGGCAGCTACAAGCTGCCATTGGCACTATATGCAGCAGTGCAAAGAAAGAAGAATAAGGGGCGGTTGTCGCTGACAGTGAACCGAGAGAAGAGATGCGTCACTACTGGGGGTTGGGGAGCGGCGTAATAGGGAAGAAGGTAGTGAGAAAATAGAGCTATGGGGAGATGAGTATGAGCGCATAGATAGAGAGATGAACAGAGAGTAGATACATGAGAAAGAGAGAGAAAGAGGAGATAATTGAGAAGGACACCCAAAATAAGTAGTGACTAGGTAGCTGCTCGCTTTCATTGGCAGCGGATGTGCAGCGGCACAGAGAGAGAGGAATAAGGAGCGGTTATCACTAGAGGTAAACTAAGAGAAGAGATGCGTCACTGCTTGTTGTTGAAGGCTTAACTACCGGGGATTGGGCAGTAGCGCAACAGTGAAGAAGGTAGAGAGAAATAGCGATAGGGGGAGATGATCGTGGGCGCATAGAGAAAGTGAACGTGAGAAATGGAGAGAGAATTTTAGGGCACAACCATCGGTCATAGTTTGAAGAGCATATTTAGGGAAGAGAGGGAGATGATTTGAGAGAGACATGCGAGATAAAAATTGAGTGTAAGAAAAGAGATAAAGGGGAGACACAGAATAGATTTTGGTGGAGCCTTGGTGACAAAATGGAGAGTTTAGGCGGGAAAAAATATTTCTAGACTCATTCTGGCTCATTAGATTAGTAATTTTGAGATGGTCTAAACCACTTTGTATGTTGGGGTAACGTAGCCTGTCAATAGCCCGTCAAATGACCCTTTATTTTATCTTGAAATGATCTGCTCCACTTTTTGTCTTTTGATTCAAAAACAGCTCTATTTTATTATATAGATTAGTAGTAACGAAAAGCATTTATTGCTCAACACTGGGGTTGGCTACACATATTTTTTGGGGCACCACTTTGCCGTGTATCATGTGATATCCAGTGATGAAAATTTTATGTTAAGATAAAAAAAACAACTCCCTAAAAAATGAAATGCGCTACAAACAAGTATTTATTCTTTACTATAAAGCAAATCTTGGTCAACTAAATAGAGACTTGTTACCTCAGGTGGTGCGGAGCAAAGCATGCCAAAGCAATTATAGTACCTCCTAGGATCGGACACTTGACAAACACAAGACCTTTCCGACTGATAAGTTCTGATAACAGCTCCTGAACTCCTTTCTCTCCGGTCAAATTCAATCTCCACAAGCTTACCGAAATGACTGCAACGTACATAACATGAAGAGATAGAAGGAAACAATTCAACCAACTAGTATTAGAGAAACTTTGAAACATATACAGAAGTTACACCGTAAATGCAAATGTTCCCGCCAAGCGTTGTTGCTTCTGACTGTATTTGCATTACCGAATGCTTCTAGAACCGGATTTGACTGCAAAACAAATGAAAATAAGGCCAAAACACATATTGTACACAATTAAAGAACTAAATTATGTGGTGAAAGATCTAAAATCTGGCCTCAGAATGAATCAGTCCCTCGTCTAAGCTTGTTGGACAGGCTGAAATGCAAGGCATACCTCCAGGACTTGCTGTGCGACAATCCTCCCCTCAGATGCAGCTCTGCCTCCCAAGTAAGCAAGATACTGCATGAGCAATTTTGTGCTTTCCGTTTCACCCACTTCACTCTCGCCACTAAGCATATTGACTAACTGATTCCTTAATTGATCATAACTCTACATCCACAGAAGTGGCATTAATCATCGTAATGCAAAAGGGAAGACAATGAAATTATAAACTCATGATCATGACAACATACCTATATGCAACATCCGCAAAAGCAAAAGGGTGGGACAAGGGGCTCAGCTCACCAAAGGCTGCCCCTTTGTACTACGCCATCATATGCCTACCATATAAATCAAGCAGTTTTCTGAAAGGATTCACAACAATTAATATGTTTCTTGTGTAAGTCTGGAAACAATATCAAGTTGATTAGCTCCAACACATTTTATTTAAATAGGAAAATGTTGAAACAGATGCTTCCAAAATCAAATGAAGTGTGGAAAATACTTACATATATTTCATTGACATCATATCTCGAATTTAAATTATGCAGAACTCCTGGCTTATGAAAATAAGCCAGCTTTGTCCTATCATCCACTCCACTTGGTGGTGCTTCACCATCTTCTGGATAAATACAAAAAGTGTTAACAACAACCTGTAACAGAAATTTAACAAAAGAAAGAAAGGATCAAATTCAGTGAATCTTTCATCTCTGCATATTTGTTTCTTAACCAACAAAAATACCTAGAATAATTTGATGGAAATGATTTGACAAAAAGTTGTTGGACGAATTTCCACTTGTCAAAATTCCCTACAAAGCATATAAAATAACAGAAAAAATGAATTAAAAGTTGATATTCAGCATTTCAATAGTTGCAATCATTTGAAGTAGATTCACGAATTTCTCTTGAAACTCTCAAATCCATCTATATCCATCACCCCAATTAAGTATTTTGAGTCTGGGTCTTGACCAATTGAACTATGGATCTTATCCACAAGCCTACAACATCGATATATCAATACAAAGGCATAAGCAAAAACTACATCTAGATATTCCAAAAAATTTCGGGGTACAAAACTTAAAATAGGAATAAAATTCCTCCAATGACAAGTAGTGGTTACCAATCAAGCAAACATGAGTACACAATTTGCCAAAGCATCTCTACTGGCAACTGCAGCTTCTGGATCAAGCCATTTGGTAATGGTTTCATCATGAGTTACAATTATACGTTTGAAGAGGGAATCCTCTAAAGACTTTATGTCACACCTAAACAATACCAAACAATTCAAAGGTTGCATTTGGTTGAAATTGCATTTTGTTCTCCCGTAGTGAAAATTAAGTCAAGATACTTGAAAATTTATTTACTTCATTTGTGTGTGCCAGTCACCCTGTGCCAATGAAATTGATTATTTACGCAAACAGCTCCACAGCAGTTCTAAAATGAAACAAAAAATTTTCATTTGGCCACACATGAGTCGATTGTCTTTTCCTTCGCAAATTTGATATTTCCAAGATGGAGAATCGCAACCACAATTCGAAAAAACACATCCAGAGGAAGGAAGAAAATCAACAAGAATGAATTAAAGGATAGATTTTAAAGTGGAAAAATCATATTTCTTTCCCATATTAACCACAACTCCAAGCAAAAACCTTTCCTCAGTACTAATTCCAACAACATCCATTGGCCCCCTTGTAGCAAAATATTCTTTAGAATCATCAATGTCATCTAACTCGTAGCAATTTAATTAATTCAAATCATGAAACGTTATAGGATTTGCTAATTTGTACTTTTGAAGATCCTGGTAGCATGGAAAAATAATATAAGATTTGACTGAAATTGAAATGATATCCCAACACAATGATCAAAATTGAACTTCAATTCCCACTTTCACACATGCAAGCCTACCACACCTTTGGAACCCAACCAACAGGTTAACTTGAATGATGGAATAATTACTGCAAGGAACTTAATTTTAGAGGAATCGATGGTGTTTTCTTAAGAAATTGAACAAAAAATAACCACCGTTAAACAGACTAATAAATAAAAATGTATAAAAAATCTATGAAATAAACTAAATTTACAATAAACTCCTCTAAAATTAAACTGTGTCTCAATTTAATTACAACCTAGATTGATATTCCACAAAATATTAACAATTATTAGTCAACAAATTTCACAAAACATATCCAAAAAAAATGTGAAACATTCTAGCTAAAAGTATGGCCAAACAAAGATGAGCAATATAGTATAACAACGTATTATAAACATAGTTTTAATGTATTTTAAAGGTATCTCAAATATTCCAAACTTGATTCAATCAAAAAACATACACAATAAAACATGCCGCTCATTGTGGTCCCTACTCGGTCCCAAAGCATGAAGGCAGAAGGCCTCCTCTCAATTGTCATGTCATGATCATAGCCATACCCTTCTATAAAAAAAAAGGGAGAATCCACAAGGTGTCAAATAAGCTCCAAAAGTCATGAATTCTTTACTTTCCAAAAACTACATCTCTCCTACAAAAATTTCTTGAAATGCTTTGTACAACTATATAATTTTTTCAATAACTTAAGAAAAAAAATCACATGTCAGTAAGTTCAATACAATATTCACAGCTATCCAAAAGTTCGACATAATGAAAAGAACTATGCTTTTTTTCCTACTTTTCTTACCCTAGAATCTAGGCTATAGATAAATGCACATATTGGAACAAACTCGTATATGTGGAGTAAAGCAGTTCAAGAGATACCTGTGCAATTTGATCAGTACCTCAGTATTTCAAGAGCTAAAAATGTTTTTTTGAGTGACGACAAGAAAACTCAAAAAATTCTCGTATAACTCGTCCTCAACTCCAATGTTTTTACTCCAATAAATGGATACTGGTGGTAGAGAACCACCAATGGAAACACCACCCAGCTCTAGAATTACCACAACCTACACACTGATAAACAAATTAAATTAAATACTCAAAAGATGTATCCATATCATAATCCATTTTACTTATGCGCTGCACAATATCATAGATTGTAGAAAAAAGCGTAAGATCTTAACTGGTCACGGTCCAAAATGTTTGGGAAGAAACAAAAAGCCATTGCGAAACAATCCACAATAAAAGCATACTATGTTACATATTGAAGGTCGGATCCAATATAAAAGATGCAGTAGCACTATGTAAACATTATATAAAAGCAGTTGCAGTAGCACTATGGATTTAGTTACACATTAAAGGTAAGTATGATATCAAGCCCAACAGTCCGACAAATACATTAATGATTGAGTTCAAAAATGTAAAAACAATCAATAAAGACAATATAATTTAGAGATTGAGTTCACAGTAGCACCTGACAAAGGTACATGGGAAGGAAAAAGGACCACAAAGCTGCATAGAAACAGTTAGCATTGTAGCGATGTAGGCTAGAATCACATATAAATGTATGTTAGAAAAGGATATCCATGTTGAAGAAGCAAAGATATCCATGGTGCAAAGATGAAGTCAATAAAAAAAACAAAATAATAAAATCAATTTAAAGCATACATGAAGAACTTAGTTTCGATGACCATAAATGAAGTCAACTATACTGGATTTCGCAAACACAACTTGAACCTGAGTCAATTCTAAATCCTAAAATAACTAAATCGAATAAACCAATCTTAACATCAGATAACACAAATATCCATTTGGTGCATTTTATCAAGCAAAAGAGATTAAAGAGCAAAAAAAATGAGCCCACTGTCCACAAGTAAAGGGCTAAAGGAACTTTGAAATAGGCAGTGGCTGGGCAGCTCCTGACTGTCATTGGCAATGGATATGCAGTGGTGTAGAGAGAGAAGAATAAGGGACGGTTGTCGCTGGCAATGAGCCAAAAGAAAAGGTTTGTCATTACTGGGGATTGGGCAACGGTGCAATAAAGAAGAAGGTAAAGAGAAATTAGTGGTAGGGGAAGATGGACGGAGAGGAAATGCATGAGAGAGAGAAAGAGGAGATGATTGAGAAGGATACCCGAAACTAGAGGTGGCTAGGTAGCTGCTCGTTGTTGTCGGCAATGGATGTGCAGCGGTACAGAGAGAAAGGAGACAAGGGGCAGTTGTCACTGGCGGTGAACCGAGAGAAGAGATGCGTCACTTCTGGGGATTGGGCAACAACACAATAAGGAAGAAGGTAGAGAGAAAATAGAGTTCGGGGAGATGATCATAAACACATAGAGAGAGATGGATGGAGAGAAGATGCGTGAGAGAGAGAAATGATTGAGAAGGATACCCGAAACAGGCGGTGGATGGGTAGCTACTCGCTATCATTGGCAGTGGATGTGCAGCGCACACAGAGAGAGAGAGGAGATAAGGAGTAGTTATCACTGGCGGTGAACCGAAAGAATGTGTCACTTCTGGGGATTGGGCAGCAGCATAATAGGGAAGAAAGTAAAGAGAAAAAAGAGTTAAGGGAGATGATCATAAGCGCATAGAGAGAGATGGACGGAGAAGAAGTGCGTGAGAGAAAGAAGAGATAATTGAGAATGATACCTAAAATAGGTAGTGGCTCGGCAGCTGCAGGTTGTCGTTGACAATGGATATACAGCGGCACAAAGAGAGAAGAATAAAAGACGGTTGTCACTGGCGGGGAACTGAGAGAAAAGATGTGTCACTACTGGTGATTGGGCAATGGCACAATAGAGAAAAAGGTAGAAAGAAAATAGAGGTAAGGGGAGATGAACATGAGCACATAGAGAGAGATGGTAGGAGGGAAGATGCATGAGAAAGAGAGAAAGAGGAGATGATTGAGAAGGATACCCGAAATAGGCAAGAGCTAGGTAGCTGCTAGCTATTGTTGCCAGTGTATGTGCAGCGAGACAGAGAGAGAGGGGATAAGGGGCAGTCATCATTGGCGGGTGAGCCGAGTGAAGAGATGCGTCACAGCTTCTTGTTGAAAGCTTAAGTGCTGGGGATTGGGCAGTGGCGCAATAATGAAGAAGGTAGAAAGAAAATAGAGATAGGGGGAGATGATCATAGGCGCATAAATAAAGTGAACGTGAGAGAGGGAGATAGAATTTTAGCACACAACCATAGGTCTTAGTTTGGAAAACATATTTAGGGGAGATCATTTGAGAGAGACACACAAGATAGAAATTGAGTGTAAGAGAACTCGATTAAGAAAGGAGATAAAGGGGAGACACAACGCAGATTTTGGTGAAGCCTTGGGAAGTGATTGAAGGCCTAATGAAGGGTAACAAAATGGAAAGTTTTAGGCGGGAACAAATTTTTCTAGACTCATTCTGGCTCATTGAATTAGTAATTTTGAGATGATCTGAACCACTTTTTATGTTGGGTAATGTAGCCCCATCGAATGACCCATTATTTTATCTTGAAACGAATTGAGTCTTTTTTGTCTTTTGATTCAAAAATAGCTATACTTTATTATATAAATTAGTAGTAACGGAAAGCATTTGCTGCACAACACTAGGTTTGGCTACATATATTTTTTTGGGCACCACTTTATCACGTATCATGTGATATCCAAGGATGAAAATTCTATGTTAAGATTAAAAAATAACTCCATAAAAAATGAAATGCTCTACAAGCACATATTTATTCTTTATTATAAAGCAAATCTTGGTTAACTAAATAGAGACTTGGTACCGCAGGTGGTGCGGAGCAAAGCATGTAGAAGCAATGATAGTACCTTTTAGGATTAGACACTGGACAAACACGAGACCTCTTCGGCGGGTAAGTTCTGAAAACAACTCCGAAACTCCTTCCTCTCCGGTCAATTTCAATCTCCACAAGTTTACCGAAATGACTGCAACGTACATAACATGAAGAGATAGAAGGAAACTATTCAACCAGACAATATTAGAGAAACTTTGAGACATATACAGAAGTTACACCATAAATGCAAAATGTTACCACCGGGGAGTTGTTGTTTCTGACTGCATTTACATTGTTTCTGACTGTATTTGCATTACCGAATGCTTCTAGAACCGGATTTGACTGCAAAACAAAGTAAAACAAGGCCAAAACACATATCGTACACAATTAAAGAACTAAATTATGTAGTGAACGATCTAAAATCTGGCCTCAGAATGAATCAGTCCCTCGTCTAAGCTTGTTGGATAGTCCCTCATCTAAGCTTGGTGAAATGCAAGGCTGACCTCTAGGACTTGCTGCTTGACAGTCCTCCCCTCAGATGCAGCTCCACCTCCCAAGTAAGCAAGATACTGCAGGAGCAATTTTGTGCTTTCCGTTTCACGTGCTCCACTCTCGCCACTAACCAAAATTGACTAACTGATTCCCTAATTGATCATAACTCTGCATCCACATAAGTGGCCTTAATAATCGTAACGTGATCATGACAACATACCTATATGCTGCATCCGCAAAAACAAAAGGGCGGGACTGGGGGCTCAGTTCACCAAATGCTGCCCCTTTGTACTGCGTCACCATGACTATCGTATAAACAAGGCAATTTTCTGAAAGGATTCACAACAATTAATATATTTCTTGTGGAAGTTTGGAAATAATATCGAGTTAAATAGGAAAATGTTGAAACACTTACATATATTTCATTGACATCATACCTCAAATTTAAATTATGCCGAACTCCAGGCTTATGTAAATAAGCCAGCTTTGTCCTATCATCCACTCCACTTGGTGGTGCTTCACCATCTTTTGGATAAATACAAAAAAGTATTAACAACCACAAAACCACTTATAACAGAAATTTAACAAAAGAAAGAAAGGACCAAATTCAATAAATCTTCCATCTCTCTGCATATTTGTTTCTTAACCAACAAAAATACCTAGAATAATTTGATGGAAATGATTTGACAAAAAGTTGTTGGATGAATTTCCACTTGTCAAAATTTCCTACAAAGCATAAAATAACAGAAAAAATGAATTAAAAGTTGATATTCAGCATTTCAATAGCAGCAACCATTTGAAGCAGATTCACCTGTTTATCTTGAAATTCTCAAATCCATATATATCCAACACCCCAATTAAGTATTTTGAGTATGGGTCTTGACCAATTGAACTATGGATCTTATCCATAAGCCTACAGCATGGATACATCAGTACAAAGGCATCAACAAAAACTACATCTAGATATTCCAAAAAATTTGGGGGTACAAACCTTAAAATAGGAACAAAATTACTCCAATGACGAGCACTCAATAATACACAACTCGACAAAGCATTAAAATGAAGGTTACCAGTTAAACAAACATGAGTACACAATTTGCCAAAGCATCTCTACTAACAACTGCAACTTCTGGATCAAGCCATTTAGTAATGGTTTCATCATGAGTTACAATTACACGTTTGTAGAGGGAATCCTCTAAAATATCATAGATTGTAGAAAAAAACGTAAGATATTAACTGGTCATGGTCCAAAATGTTGAGAAGAAACGAAAAGCCATTGCGAAACAATCCACAATAAAAGCATACTATGTTACATACTAAAGGTCGGATCCAATATAATACATGCAGTAGCACTATGTTAACACTATAAAATCAGAATGTAACATTATATAAAAGCAGTAGCACTATGTTAACATTATATAAAAGCAGTTGCAGTAGCACTATGGATTTAGTTACACATTAAAGGTACGTATTATATCAAGCCCAACAATCGTCAAATACATTAATGAATGATTCACAAATATCAAAATAATCAATAAAGAGAATATAATATAGAGATTGAGTTCACAATAGCACCTGAAAAAGGTACACGAGAATGACAAAGGACCACAAAGTAGCACAAAAACAATTAGAATTGTTGCGATGGAGGCTAGAATCTCATATAAATGTATGTTAGAAAAGGATATCCATGTTGAAGAAGCAAAGATATCCATAGTGCATAGATGAAGTCAACAATAAAAACAAAATAATAAAATCAATTTAAAGCATACATGAAGAACTTAGTTTGGATTACCATAAATGAAGTCAACAATACCGGATTACGCAAACACAACTTGGACCAAAGTTAATTCTAAATCCGAAAATAACTAAATCGGATAATATAACCTTAAGATCAACCAACACAAATATCCACTTGGTGCATTTTATCAAGAAGAAGAGATTAAAAAGCATAAAAAATGATCCCACAGTCCATAAGGGCTGAAGCAACTCTTTGAAACAAAAAAAAAATATCGGTTTGACAATTTATCAAACAGGTGGTACACAGGAGTAGGGAAGAACAGAAAGGGGCTGTCGAGTGGGGTTATGGTTGTGGAGAAAGAATGAGAAGTAGATGATTAAGGGAGAAGAGCTGTGTGACAAAGAGAAAGGAGATGCGTGAGAGAGAGAGAGAGGAGATAATTGAGAAGGATTCCTGAAATAGGCGGTGGCTGGGCACCTACTAGTTGTCATTGGCAATGAATGTGCAACGGCACAAAGGGAGAAGGGATAAGGGACAGTTGTCGCTGGCGGTGAACTGAGAGAACAGATGAGTCACAGCTGGACATTGGGCAGTGGCACAATAGGGAAGAAGGTAGAGAGAAAATAGAGTTAGGGGTAGATGATCATAAGCGCATAGAGAGAGGGAGAGATGGATAGAGAGGAGATGTGTGAGAGAGGAAGGAGATGATTAAGAAGGATACTTGAAATAGGCGATGGCTAGGCAGCTGCAAGCTGTCATTGGCAGTGGATATGCAGCGGCGCAGAGAGAGAAGAATAAGGGGCAGTTGTCGATAGTGGTGAACCTAGAGAAGAAATTCCTCACTACTGGGGATTGGGCAGTGGCGCAATAGGGAAGAAGGTAGAGAGAAAATAGAGCTACGGGAAGATGAACATAAGCGCATAGATAGAGAGATGGATGGAGAGAAGATGCATGAGAGAGAGAGGAGATGATTAAGGAGGACACCTGAAATAGGTAGTGGCTGGATAGCTACTCACTGTCATTGGCAGTGGATGTGCAGTGACACAAAGAGAAAGAGGAGATAAGGGGCAATTGTCACTAGAAGTAAACAGAGAGAAGAGATGAATTACTGCTTGTTGTTGAAGGCTTAACTACTGGGGATTGGGCAGTGGTGCAATAGTGAAGAAGCTAGAGAGAAAATAGCGATAGAGGGAGACAATCATGGGTGCATAGAGAAAGTGAACATGAGAAAGGGAGAGAGAATTTTAGGGCACAACCATAGGTCTTGGTTCGGAAAGCATATTTAGGGGAGAAAGGGAGATGATTTGAGAGAGACATGCGAGATAGAAATTAAGTGTAAGAGAGCTCGGTTAAGAAAGGAGATAGAGGGGAGACACAGAGCAAATTTTGGTGAAGCCTTGGGGAGTGATTAAAGGCCTAACTAAGGGTAAAAAAAATGGAAAGTTTTAGACGGGAAAAAATATTTCTAGACTCATTCTAGCTCATTAGATTAGTAATTTTCAGAAGATCTGAACCACTTTTTATGTTGAGCTAATGTAGCCCGTCGAATGACCCTTTACTTTATCCTCAAATGATCTGAGCCGCTGTATCATGTGAGTCGCTGCTCAACACTGGGATTGGCTACATATATTTTTTCGGGCACCACTTTGCCATGTATCAAGTGATATCCAAGGATGAAAATTCTATGTTAAGATAAAAAAACAACTCCATAAAAAATGAAATGCTCTACAAGTATGTATTTATTCTTTACTATAAAGCAAATCTTCGTCAACTAACTAAAGACTTGTTACCTCTGGTGGTGCGGAGGAAAGCATGTAGAAGCAATGATAGTACCTCTTAGGATCGAACACTTGACAAACACGAGACCTTTCCGATTGGTAAATTCTGATAACAGCCCCTGAACTCTTTCCTCTCTAGTCAAATTCAATCTCCACAAGCTTACCGAAATGACTGCAACATACATAACATGAAAAGATAGAAGGAAACAATTCAACCAGACATTATTGGAGAAACTTTGCGACATATACAAAAGTTACACCATAAATGCAAAATGTTCCCACCTGGAGTTGTTGTTTCGGACTGTATTTGCTTTACCAAATGCTTCTAGAACCGGATTTGACTGCAAAACAAATGAAAACAAGGCCAAAACACATACTGTACACAATTAAAGAGCTAAATTATGTGGTGAAAGATCTAAAATCTGACCTCAGAATGAATCAGTCCCCCTGGACAGGCTGAAATGCAAGGCTGACCTCCAGGACTTGCTGCTTGACAGTCCTGCCCTTAGATGCAGCTCTACCTCCCAAGTAAGCAAGATCCCGCATGAGCAATGTTGTGCTTTCCGTTTCACCTGCTCCACTCTCGCGACTAACCAAAATTGACTAAATGATTCCTTAATTGATCATAACTCTGCATCCACAGAAATAGCCTTAATCATCGTAATGCAAAAGGAAGACAATGAAATTATAAACTCGTGATCGTGACAACATATACCAATATGTTGCATCCGCAAAAGCAAAAGGGTGGGACTGGGGGCTTAGTTAACCAAGGCTGCCCCTTTGTACTGCGCCATCATATGCCTATCGTATAAATGAGGCAATTTTCTGAAAGGATTCACAACCATAAATATATTTCTTGTGCAAGTCCGGAAATAATATCGAGTTTATTAGCTTCAACACGTTTTATTTAAATAGTAAAATGTTGAAATAGATGCTTCCAAAATCAAATGAAGTGCGGAAAATTATGCAGAATTTCTGGCTTATGCAAATAAGCCAGCTTTGTCCTATCATCCACTCCACTTGGTGGTGCTTCACCATCTTTTGGATAAATACAAAAACTGTTAACAACAACCAGTAATAGAAATTTAACAAAAGAAAGAAAGGACCAAATTCAATGAATTTTCCATCTCTGCATATTTGTTTCTTAATCAACAAAAACACCTACAATAATTTGATGGAAATGATTTGACAAAAAGTTGTTGGACGAATTTTCACTTGTCAAAATTTCCTACAAAGCATAAAATAACAGAAAAAATGAATTACAAGTTGATATTTAGCATTTCAATAGCAGCAACCATTTGAAGCAAATTCACCTATTTATCTTGAAACTCTCAAATCCATATATATCCAGCACCCCAATTAAGTATTTTGAGTCTGGGTCTTGACCAATTGAACTGTGGATCTTATCCACAAGCCTACAGCATGGATATATCAGTACAAAGGCATCAGCAAAAACTACATCTAGATATTCCAAAAAATTTAGGGGTACAAAATTTAAAATAGGAACAAAATTACTCCAATGACGAGTAGTCAATAATACACCACTCGTCAAAGCATGAAATTGAAGATTACCGGTCAAACAAATATGAGTACACATTTTGCCAAAGCATCTCTACTGACAGCTACAACTTCTGGATCAAGCCATTTGTAATGGTTTCATCATGTGCTACAATTACACGTTTGTTAGAGGGAATCCTCTAAAGCCTTTATACCACACCTGAACAATACCAAACAATTCACAGGTTGCATTTAGTTGAAGTTGCATTTTGTTCTCCTGTAGTGAAAATTAAGTCAAGATATTTAAAAATTCATTTACTTGTCGGTGCCAATGAAATTGATTATTTACACGAACAGCTCCACAATAGTTCTAAGATGAAACCAAGATTTTTCATTTTGGGCACAGAAGAGTTGATTGTCTTTTCCTTCACAAATTTGATATTTCCAAGATGGAGAATCATAGCCACAACTCGAAAAAACACATCCAGAGGAAGGAAGAAAATCAACAAGAAGGAATTAAAGGATAGATTTTAAAGTGGAAGAATCATATTTCTTTCCCATATTAACCAACTCCAAGCAAAAACCTGTTCCTCGGTACTAATTCCAACAACATCCATTGGCCCCCTTGTAGCAAAATACTCTTTAGAATCATCAATGCCATCTAACTCGTAGCAATTTAATTGATTCAAATAATGAAACGTTCTTGGATTTCTCAATTTGTACTTTTGAAGATCCTGGTAGCATGGAAAAATAATATAAGATTTGTGTGAAATTGAAATGATATCCCAACACAATGATCAAAATTGAACTTCAATTCCCACTTCCACACATGTAAGCCTACCACACCTTTGGAACCCAACCAACAAATTGAACTTGATTGATGGAGTAATTACATTACTGCAAGGAACTTAATTTTAGAGGAATCTACGGTATTTTCTTAAGAAATTGAACATAAAATAATTATTGCTAAACTGACTAATAAACAAAAATGTATAAAAAATCTACGAAATAAACTAAATTTACAATAAACTCCTCTAAAATTAAACTTTGTCTCAACTTAACTATAACCTAGACCCATATTCCACAAACTATTAGCAATTATTGATCAACTAATTTCACCAAACATATCCAAAAAAAAAATGTGAAACATTCTAGCTAACAGTATGGTCAAACAAAGATGAGCAACATAGTATAACGACGTATTATAAACATAGTTTTGACGTATTTAAAGGTATCTCAAATATTCCAAACCTGATTCAATCAAAAAACATACACAATAAAACATGTCGCTCACTGTGGTCTCCTCTTAGTCCCAAAGCACGAAGGTAGAAGGCCTCCTCTCAATTGTGGGGTCATGATCACAGCCATACCCTTCTATAAAAAAATGGAGAACCCAAATGATGTCAAATAAGCTTCAAAATTTATGAATTCTCTACTTTCCAAAAATTACATCTCTCTTGCTAAAATTTCTTGAAATGCCTTGTACAACTATGTAATTTTCTCAATAACATAAGAAAATCACATGTCAGTATGTTCAATGCAATACTCACAGCTATCCAAAGGTTCGACATAATGAAACAAACTATGCCTTTTTTCCTAGTTTTCTTACCCTAGAATCCAAGCTATAGAGAAATGCACTTATTGGAACGGACTCGTATATGTGGAGTAAAGCAGTTCGAGAGATACCTGGGCAAGTTGATCAATACCTTGGCGTTTCTAGAGCTAGCAATGTTTCTTTGAGTGACGATAGGAAGACTCAAAAAATCCCCCCATAACTCATCCTCAACTCCTATTTTACTCCAATAAATGGCTACAAGTGGTAGAAAACCACCAATGGTAGCAACAACCAGTTCCAGAATTACCACAACCTACACACTGATAAAAAAATTAAATTAAATACTCAAAAGATGTACCCATATCATAACCCATTTTAGTTATGCGCCGCCACCATATCATATATTGTGGAAAAAGCGTTAAGATCTTAACTGGTCATGGTCCAAAATGTTGGGAAGAAACGAAAAGCCACTGCGAAACAATCCACAATAAAAGCATACTATGTTACATATTGAAGGTCGGATCCAATATAATAGATGCAGTAGCACTATGTTAACACTATAAAATCAGAATGTAACATTATATAAAAGAAGTAGGTAGCACTATGTTAACATTGTAAAAAAGCAGTTGCAGTAGCACTATGGATTTAGTTACACATTAAAGGTAGGTATTATATCAAGCCCAACAGTCCATCAAATACATTAATGATTGATTTCACAAATATCAAAACAATCAAAAAAGAGAATATAATATAGAGATTGAGTTCACAGTAGCACCTGAAAAAGGTACACGAGGACAAAGGACCACAAACCTGCACAGAAACAATTAACATTGGTGCGATGGAGGCAAGAATCACATATAAATGTATGTTAGAAAAGGATATCCATGTTGAAGAAGCAAAGATATCCATGGTGCATAGATGAAGTCAACAATAAAAACAAAATAATAAAATCAATTTAAAGCATACATGAAGAACTTAGTTTCGATGACCATAAATGAAGTCAACAATACCGAACTTCACAAACACAACTTAGACCAGAGTCAATTTCAAATCCGAAAATAATTAAATCAGATAAACCAATCTTAAGATCAGCTAACACAATTATCCACTTGGTGCATTTTAGCAAGCAAAAAAGATTAAAAAGCATAAAAAATAGCCCACTGTCCATAAGCAAAGGGCTGAAGGAACTTTTTGAAACAAAAAAAAATATTATTTTGACAATTTGTCGTACAGATAGTACACAGAAGTTGGGAGACACAGGAAAGGGGCTGTCGAGTGAGGTTATGATTATGGAGAAAAAGTGAGAAAAGGAGATGATTGAGGGAGAAGAGATACGTGACAAAGAGAAAGGAGATGCGTGAGAGAGAGAGGAGACGATTGAGAATGATTCCTGAAATAGGCAGAGGCTGGGCAGCTGCTGGCTGTTGTTGGCAATGAATGTGCAACAACACAGAGAGAGGAGGGATAAGGGGCGGTTGTCGCTAGCAGTGAACAGAAAGAAGATATGCGTCACTGCTAGGGATTGGGCAGCGGTACAATAGAGAAGAAGGTAGAGAGAAAATAGAGTTGGGGGAAGATGATCATAAGGGCATAGAAAAAGAGAAGGACAAATAGGAGATGCGTGAGAGAGGAGATAATTGAAAAGAATACCTGAAATAGGTAGTGGTTGGGCAGCTGCAGGCTGTTGTTGGCAGTGGATATACAGCAGCACAGAGAGAGAAGAATAATGGGCGGTTGTCGTTGGCGGTTAACCGATAGAAGAAATGTGTCACTACTGGGGATCGGGCAGCGACGCAATAGAGAAAATGGTAGAGAGAAAACAGAGGTAGAGGGAGATGAACATGAGCACATAGAAAGAGATGGACAAAGAGGAGATCCATGAGAAAGAGAGAAAGAGGAGATGATTGAGAAGGATACCCGAAATAGACAGTGGCTGGGCAGCTACTAGCTGTTGTTGGCAGCAGATGTGCAGCGGCACAGCGAGAGAGGAGATAAGGGGGAGTTGTCACTGGCGGTGAACCAAGAGAAGAGATGTGTCACTGCTTCTTGTTGAAGGCTTAATTGTGGGGGATTAGGCAGTGGCGCAATAAGGAAGAAGGTAGAGAGAAAATAGAGATAGGGGGAAATGATCATGAGCGAATGGAGAAAGTGAACGTGAGAGAGGGAGAGAGAATTTCAGGGCACAACCATAGGTCGTAGTTTGGAAAGCATATTTGGGGGAGAGAGGAAGATGATTTGAGAAAGGCATGCGAGATAGAAATTGAGTGTAAGAAAGTTGACTAAGAAAAGAGATAAAGGGGAGACAGAGAGCAGATTTTGGTGCGAACCTTGGGGAGTGATTGAAGGCCTGACCAAGGGTAACAAAATGGAAAGTTTTTGGCGGGAAAAAATATTTCTAGACTCATTATGGCTCATTGAATTAGTAATTTTGAGATGATCTGAACCACGTTTTATGTTGGCGTAATGTAGCCCGTCGAATGACCCTTTATTTTATCTTCAAACGATCTAAGCCACTTCTTGTCTTTTGATTCAAAAACTGCTCTACTTTATTATATAAATTAGTGGTAACAGAAAGCATCTACTGCTCAACACTGCGGTTTGATTCAAAAACTTCTCTACTTTATTATATAAATTAGTGGTAACAGAAAGCATTTACTGCTCAACACTGGGGTTGGATACATATATTTTTTTGGGCACCACTTTGCTATGTATCATGTGATATCCAAGGATGAAAATTCTATATTAAGATAAAAAAACAACTCCATAAAAAATGAAATGCTCTACAAGCATGTATTTATTCTTTACTATAAAGCAAATCTAGGTCAACTAAATAGAGACTTGTTACCTCGGGTGGCGCGGAGCAAAGCATGTAGAAGCAATGATAGTACCTCTTAGGATCGGACACTTGACAAACACGAGACATTTTCGGCTGGTAAGTTCTAATAGAAGCTCGTGAACTCCTTCCTCTCCGGTCAAATTCAATCTCCACAAGCCTACCGAAATGACTGCAACATACATAACATGAAGAGATAGAAGAAAACAATTAAACCAGAAAGTATTAGAGAAACTTTGCGACATATACAGAAGTTACACCGTAAATGCAAAATGTTCCAACCTGGATTTGTTGTTTTTGACTGAATTTTCATTACCGAATGCTTCTAGAACCGATTTGACTGCAAAACAAATGAAAACACGGCCAAAACACATATTGTATTCAATTAAAGAACTAAATTATGTGGTGAAAGATCTAAAATCTGGCCTCAGAATGAATCAGTCCTTCGTCTAAGCTTGTTGAACAGACTGAAATGCAATGCTTACCTCCAGGGACTTATGCAGCTCTGCCTCCCACCTAAGGAAGATACTTCATGAGCAATTTTGTGCTTTCTGTTTTACCTGATCCACTCTCGCCACTAACCAAAATTGACCGAATGATTCCCTAATTTGAGTGAAGATGCCTGGTATCCATATATGTGTTCCCTTTCAAGCTCAATTCATATCAGCTTAATGAAGATTCAACAACTTTTAGTCTTAGAAGCTCTCTTGGGATTATGTGAGGAGATTATAGAACTAGGCATGATCCCTAAGAGTATCAATATGTGATGCCTATCTGCCTCTACCTTTTCTTTTCGCTTCTTATTCCCCTTTTTCCTAATTTCCACACTACATCATCCTGCAACCGGACCTTGGTAGTGACTCTTCAAAACGTTAGAAATCCTACCTTGACAAGCCTCATCTCTGGAACAAAGAACTTATCAATTTTTAATTAGCCTAACTTCAATATGCACTAATCCCTTTTTAACACCCAGCATGCCAACATAGCCACTCTCTATAAAGTACAGTACCAGAACCCCTATTAATTTCTTGAACCAACCACCTCAAAAAACCTAGCCAATATCAATCCTTCATTCCACAGACTAAGTTCCTTGATCTACAAAATTTACTTAATCTAAGCACAGTATACATCTAAGATTGGGAGACTCTAGCACCAGTTTTTGGAGTATTCTGCTATATCATTTCATGTAGCAGGGCTTGTATAAGTGTGTTTCATCACACGTTCTACATCAGCTGTCCATGACTTAAAAACTCCATCCCAAGGTCAGTACTTTCCCTGTCGACATTCTGAAAAACCATATTGAAAAGAAAAGTTATAAGTACTTTCCTCAAAGAAAGGACTTATACTAGACCCCTCAAAATTTTTAAGTCCAAATAAGGCTACAAACTTCTTTTTAGGACCACCCCCATCATAGCATTCTAAGCCACAAATGAGACTGAACAAAGCTGAAAGTGGACAAAGAATCAAACTGTAGTTCACCTGCTAGCCATAGAATTGCTATTTTTCATTAGGAAGAACAAAGAAAATGCTACTCTATAAAAACCAATGAAAGCAGAGGACAGTGAATAATCACAATTTGGCATTCTTACCAGGAATAACAGCATTAATAATTCCCCATGGCCACCTGTAATACCAACTGATATAGAATGTGAATCTACAAAGACTACCAATTTTATCCCCTTGAATATTGAATATTACCAAGACTCCACATGCTACATACATAGGATTAATATATTAGATCAATATCAGTAGTAAGGGAAAGCATTTGCTGCTCAACATTGGGGTCGGCTACAAATATTTTTTTGGGCATCACTTTCCCATGTATCATATGATAAATAAGAATGAAAATTCTATGTTAAGATAAAATACAACTATATAAAAAATGTAATGCTCTACAAGCATATATTTAGTCTTTTTTATGAAGTCTTGGTGAAGCCAATAAAGACTTGTTACCTCGGGTGGTGCAGCACAAAGCATGTAGAAGCAGTGAAAGTTTCATTCCGGATCGGACACTTGACAAATACGAGATTTTTTCAGCACGTAAGTTCTGATAGCAGCTCCTGAAATCCTTCCTCTCTGGTCAAATTGAATCTCCACAAGCTTACCGAAATGACTGCAACATACTCCACACGAGGGGATAGAAGGAAACAATTCAACAAGAAAGTATTAGAGAAACTTTGCACAATATACAGAAGTTACACTGTAAATGCAAAATCTTCCCACCTGGAGTTGTTGTTTCTGACTGTCTTCACCTTACCAGATGCTTCTAGAACAGGATTTGACTGCAAAACATATGAAACACAGCCAAAACACATATTATACCCAATTACGAAACTAACTTATGTGGTGAAAGAGTTCAAACCTGGCCTCAGCATGACGCAGTCCTGCATCTAAGCTTGTTGGACGGACTGAAATGCAAGGCTTACCTCCGGCTCTTGCTGCTTGACAATGTAAGCAACATACCACATAAGCAATTTTGTGCTTTCTGTTGTAACTACTCCACTCTCACCACTAACCAAAATTGACTGACTGATTCGCTAATTGATCATAACTCTGCATCTACATAATTGGCCTTAATCATTGTAATGCAAAGCGAAGGCAACCGAATTATGAACTCATGATCGTGACAACGTACCTATATGCTGCATCTGCAACAGCAAAAGGAAGGGGGCTCAGTTCACCGAAGGCTGCCCCTTTGTACTGTGTCATCATATGACTATCATATAAATGAGGCAATTTTATGAAAGGCTTCATAGCAAGTATTATAGTTCCTGTGTAAGTCTGGAAGCACTATCAAGTTGATTAGCTTCAAAACATTAGAATTAAATAAGAAAATGTTGAAACAGATGGTTCCAACATCAAATGAAGTGTGGGAAATACTTGCATTTATTTTATTGATATCACATCTGGATTTTAAATTGTGAAAAAGTCCTGGCTCATTCAAATAAGCCAGCTTTGTCATTTCATCCGCTACACATGGTGGTACTTCATCATCTTTTGGATAAATCCAAGAAGTTTTAACGACAACCTGTAACTTAAATTTAACAAAAGAAAGAAATGACCAAAGTCGAAGAATCATCAATATCTGCATATTTGTTTCTGAACCAACAAAAATACCTATACTAATTTGAGGGAAATGATTTAACAAAAAGTTGTTGGACGAATTTCCACCTGTCAAAATTTCATACAAACATAAAATAACCACAAAAATGAATTACAAGTTGATATTCAGCATTTCAAGAATAACAACCAATTGAAGCAGATATACCATATACGCTTTAAATATCAATTTCAAGTAGTGATGTAGAAAACTCACAAGAACCTTAATTTCTTCACCATTAGCCTCCACAACTTCGCAATCTACCCAAGCTACATCAGGATCCCTCACCCACGCAAGAGATCCAATGCCAAGCTGTGACCAAAACAACCTATAACACTTTTTCATATATTTCAGACAGTTAATATAAGAGGAAGCAGTTAATAAGCCCAGAACTGAGTCCATTGGCGCACTCCAAAAAACAAGAAAACCAGAGCCAATTGAACAATTGAATAACAACTATTATCATTCACGTTCATACCTAGACACACACAGCGTTTTAATGACTATAAAACTTTCAGTGAGGTTATTATTCTATGGGAAACATTCCATAAGATCATCATTCTATAAGGTCTTGAAACTTGGAAATCTTCACACAAACTTCTGAACAGAGAGAGACTGGGATCATATCAAAACAGCAAAAGTATTTCATGAAAAGTAATTCAGCACCTTTACTTCTAAGGATTCGGTTTAATCAGAATGACAGATTCCAACAAGATGTCAATGGCAAGCCATCAAGCTATTACCCAGCTTGATCCCATTAAATTGAAGTTGGTGGAAATGGTGGGTTGTGTACAGCTCTAGCCTTTGCCATTAGTTGTGCAGAATGCTCGCCCTCTTATTCAAATTCCAACTTGACAGTTGTTGGTGTGTGATTTTACCATCACACCATGCACTGGCTATTTGCAACAAAAACAATGGAAAACAAATCTTTCTGGGTTTCTGCTACTACCATGGAGGTCCTAAAATACTGTGCAAAGGCTGAAGAATGCTGAGGAAGGAGCTGTAAATTTGTTGCTGAAACTTAGCTTTCCAAGCCGGCCTTTCTATCTCTAAAATCCCCAAAAAACTTAAGCCAGACAAATAATTCAGTTTCTTGAGTGTCCCACTTCCATGCAATATTCATGAAAATATTCTATTCCTTAGGTGACATATCAAAAGGATGCCAAATCAAAATGCATTCAATGTATTGAAGATCTAAACATTAACCATCTTGGAGAGCCTCTAAGAACAGCAAAGAGTGAACCCTAAAAGTTACCATACTGGCTAGTGCAACAAAAGACTAAGTGTCATTAAAAGATGACACAGTGATTAAAACTGCTAATATGACATACAAGAGATAAAGGAAATCCTGAAACATATATGAACAATGCCAAAAGAATATCAAGCCTCCACAACCAGGGTTTTGACTTGGGCAACATACTTGTGATGCAACAACAACCTTAACAACTCGCAGAAAATCCGCAAGCGCACACGCACCTCAAAAAAGTATCACCTCGAAATCTACCTGTCGAAGACTTGATAAATTATATGCTACTTGGACATGGTTGTTCAAAGCCAATATTTGAACTCAAGATTCGATAAAGATTCAAGAAACAGCAGCAAACAGAGACAGGAACTATGGAAACAAAAGTGGATTCCATTAATATCCACCAAGTAGAACAAATCCTGATGAAACTAAGATAGGTCAACTAAATATAGACTTGTTACCTCAGGTGGTGCGGAGCAAAGCACGTAGAAGCAATGATAGTACCTCTAAGGATCGAACACTTGACAAACACGAGACCTTTTCGGCTGATAAATTATAATAGCAGCTCCAGAACTCCTTCCTCTCCGGTCAAATTCAATCTCCACAAGCTTACCGAAATGACTGCAACGTACATAACATGAAGAGATAGAAGAAAACAATTCAAACAAACAGTATTAGAGAAACTTTGCGACATATACAGAAGTTACACTGTAAATGCAAAATGTTCCCACCTGGAGTTGTTGTTTTTGACTGAATTTGCATTAACGAATGCTTCTAGAACAGGATTTGACTGCAAAACAAATGAAAACACGGCCAAAACACATATTGTATTCAATTAAAGAACTAAATTAGGTGGTGAAAGATCTAAAATCTGGCCTCAGAATGAATCAGTCCTTCGTCAAAGCTTATTGAACAGACTGAAATGTAATGCTTACCTCCAGGACTTATGCACCTCTGCCTCCCACCTAAGCAAGATACTGCATGACCAATTTTGTGCTTTCTGTTTTACCTGATCCACTCTTGCCACTAACCAAAATTGACCGAATGATTCCCTAATTTGAGTGAAGATGCCTGGTATCCATATATATGTTCCCTTTCAAGCTCAATTCATATCAGCTTAATGAAGATTCAACAACTTTTAGTCTTAGAAGCTCTCTTGGGATTATGTGAGGAGATTATAGAACTAGGCATGATCCCTAAGAGTACCGATATGTGATGCCTATCTGCCTCTACCTTTTCTTTTTGCTTCTTATTCCCCTTTTTCCTAATTTCTGCACTTCATCATCCTGCAACCGGACCTTGGTAGTGACTCTTCAAAACGTTAGAAATCCTACCTTGACAAGCCTCATCTCTGGAACAGAGCACTTATAAATCTTTAATTAGCCTAACTTCAATATGCACTAATCCCTTTTTAACACCCAACATGTCAACATAGCCACTCTCTATAAAGTACAGTATCAGAACCCCTATTAATTTCTTGAACCTCAAAAAACCTTGCCAATATCAATCCTTCATTCCACATACTAAGTTCCTTGATCTACAAAATTTACTTAATCTAAGCACAGTATACATCTAAGATTGGGAGACTCTAGCACCAGTTTTTGGAGTATTCTGCTATATCATTTCATGTAGCAGGGCTTGTATAAGTGTGTTTCATCACACGTTCTACATCAGCTGTCCATGACTTAAAAACTCCATCCCAAGGTCAGTACTTTCCCTGTCGACATTCTGAAAAACCATATTGAAAAGAAAAGTTATAGGTACTTTCCTCAAAGAAAGGACTTATGCTAGACCCCACAAAATTTTTAAGTCCAAATAAGGCTACAAACTTCTTTTTAGGACCACCCCCATCATAGCATTCTAAGCCACAAATGAGACTGAACAAAGCTGAAAGTGGACAAAGAATCAAACTGTAGTTCACCTGCTAGCCATAGAATTGCTATTTTTCATTAGGAAGAACAAAGAAAATGCTACGCTATAAAAACCAATGAAAGCAGAGGACAGTGAATAATCACAATTTGTCATTCTTACCAGGAATAACAGCATTAATAATTCCCCATGACCACCTGTAATACCAACTGATATAGAATGTGAATCTACAAAGACTACCAATTTTATCCCCTTGAATATTGAATATTACCAAGACTCCACATGCTACATACATAGGATTAATATATTAGATCAATATCAGTAGTAAGGGAAAGCATTTGCTGCTCAACATTGGGGTCGGCTACATATATTTTTTTTGGCATCACTTTCCCATGTATCATGTGATAACTAAGAATGAAAATTCTATGTTAAGATAAAATACAACTATATAAAAAATGTAATGCTCTACAAGCATACATTTAATCTTTTTTTATGAAGTCTTGGTGAAGCAAATAAAGACTTGTTACCTCGGGTGGTGCAGTGCAAAGCATGTAGAAGCAGTGATAGTTCCATTCAGGATCAGACACTTGACAAATACGAGATTTTTTCAGCACGTAAGTTCTGATAGCAGCTCTTGAAATCCTTCCTCTCTGGTCAAATTGAATCTCCATAAGCTTACTGAAATGACTGCAACATACTCCACATGAAGGGGTAGAAGGAAACAATTCAACCAGAAATTATTAGAGAAACTTTGCACAATATACAGAAGTTACATTGTAACTGCAAAATTTTCCCCCCTGGAGTTGTTGTTTCTGACTGTCTTCGCCTTACCGGATGCTTCTAGAACAGGATTTGACTGCAAAACAAATGAAACACAGCCAAAATACATATTATACCCAATTAAGGAACTAAATTATGTGGTGAAAGAGTTCAAACCTGGCCTCAGCATGACACAGTCTCGCGTCTAAGTTGTTGGACGGACTGAAATGCAAGGCTTACCTCCAGGACTTGCTGCTCGACAATGTAAGCAAGATACCACATAAACAATTTTGTGCTTTCTGTTGTAACTGCTCCACTCTCACCACTAACCAAAATTGACTGAATGATTCCCTAATTGATCATAACTTTGCATCCACATAATTGGCCTTAATCATTGTAAAGAAAAGTGAAGGCAACCGAATTATGAACTCATGATCGTGACAATGTACCTATATGCTGCATCTGCAACAGAAAAAGGAAGGGGGCTCAGTTCACCGAAGGCTGCCCCTTTGTACTGCGTCATCATATGACTATCATATAAATGAGGCAATTTTCTGAAAGGCTTCACAGTAAGTATTATATTTCCTGTGTAAGTCTGGAAGCACTATCAAGTTGATTAGCTTCAAAACATTTGAATTAAATAAGAAAATGTTGAAACAGAAGCTTCCAACATCAAATGAAGTGTGGGAAATACTGGCACATATTTTATTGATATCACATCTCGATTTTAAATTGTGCAGAAGTCCTGGCTCATTCAAATAAGCCAGCTTTGTCATTTCATCCGCTACACATGGTGGTAATTCATCATCTTTTGGACAAATCCAAGAAGTTTTAACGAGAACCTGTAACTTAAATTTAACAAAAGAAAGAAATGACCAAAGTCGAAGAATCATCAACATCTGCATATTTGTTTCTGAACCAACAAAAATACCTATAATAATTTTAGGGAAATGATTTAACAAAAAGTTGTTGGACAAATTTCCACCTGTCAAAATTTCGTACAAACATAAAATAACCACTAAAATGAATTACAAGTTGATATTCAGCATTTCAAGAATAACAACCAGTTGAAGCAGATATACCATATCCTCTTTAAATATCAATTTCAAGTAGTGATGTAGAATACTCACAACACAAGATCCTTCGCAATCTACACAAGCTACATCTGGATCCCTCACCCACGCAAGAGATCGAAAGCCTAAGCTGTGACCGAAACAACCTATAACACTTTTTCATATATTTCAGACAGTTAATATAAGAGGAAGCAGTTAATAAGCCCAGAACTGAGTCCATTGGCGCACTCCAAAAAACAAGAAAACCAGAGCCAATTGAACAATTGAATAATAACTATTATCATTCACGTTCATACCTAGACACACACAGCATTTTAATGACTATAAAACTTTCAGTGAGGTTATTATTCTATGGGAAACATTCCATAAGATCATCATTCTATAAGGTCTTGAAACTTGGAAATCTTCACACAAACTTCTGAACAGAGAGAGCCTGGGATCATATCAAAACAGCAAAAGTATTTCATGAAAAGTAATTCAGCACCTTTACTTCAAAGGATTTGGTTTAATCAGAACGACAGATTCCAACAAGATGTCAATGGCAAGCCATCAAACTATTACCCAGCTTGATCCCATTAAATTGAAGTTGGTGGAAATGGTGGGTTGTGTACAGGTCTAACCTTTGCTATTAGTTGTGCAGAATGCTCGCCCTCTTATTCAAATTTCCAACTTGACAGTTGTCGGTGTGTGATTTTACCATCACACCATGCACTGACTATTTGCAACAAAAACAATGGAAAACAAATCTTTCTGGGTTTCCGCTACTACCATGGAGGTCCTAAAATACTGTGCAAAGGCTGAAGAATGTTGAGGAAGGAGCTGTAAATTTGCTGCTGAAACTTAGCTTTCCAAGCCGGCCTTTCTATCTCTAAAATCCCCAAGAAACTAAAGCCAGACAAATAATTCAGTTTCTTGAGTGTCCCACTTCCATGCAATATTCATGAAAATATTCTATTCCTTAGGTTGTTCAAAGCCAATATTTGAACTCAAGATTCAATAAAGATTGAAGAAACAGCAGCAAACAGAGACAGGCACTATGGAAACGAAAGTGGATTCCATTGATATCCACCAAGTAGAACAAATCCTGATGAAACTAAGATAGATCAGTAATAAATAACAAAAAGAAAAAGAATTCATCCAAATTTCCAATGAAAGATTAATGGAAACTATGCTATGACGAACCACCAACAAGAACATTATTCAATACCATTCTTGAAAATATTCAGATCAGAAGCTTCAGTGACGTCTCGATTAATTTCCGATTCCTCCAAAGAATGCAAAATCAATCCAACACAGATCAAACAACCACCGAGTCTTCCAGTAGCTGCAGCAAAATTCCAATCCAAAACCACAATTCCTTTTTACTTTTCTTCGCCGATACAACAACAATGAACTTTGATATATTTGATTCAATGGAGGCTAAAAAAGAAAACAAAAACAACAAAGATCAGGCAACAGAATGAGTTTAAATCTTTGAGCAGGCCGATTTTTCGCTGAAGATTGGAAAAAAGGGTCTGATTTTGGTGGGAAAAGAGATTGAACCCTCTGCTTTATAAAGCAAAGCCAAAGCCTCTCTGTGTTTGTGTCAATTTATTAGTAGATTAATTGCTTGCTATGAAGTATAATATAACGGTCATTTGTTGAACTAATTCCGAGATTACCCTTATTTATCCTTATTTCCTAATTCCGAGATTACTCTTTATGCCAATTTACTAAAATCATATTTGATACTTATAATTTTATGAAACAGAAAAAAAAAATATGTTTCATCAATAACTACATTTTTTTTTATACTAAATCATGGTGTCAATCTTTTATTACAATATTGATAATGATTAAATATTTATTACGTATTGAAAATGATTTCTACACAATACATAAACCCATGTATGTGTGTGACTCAAACAAAGTCAACTCGAACCTAAAACGAGACTGTTTCAGGCTGCTCAAAGACTATTTGAGGCTTAAGACGAAAAATTAAAAATGAGACTTTTTAATATTAATTTTTTGTAAAAAATTATTATTCTTATTTTTTGAGATTAAAGGAACTATTAGTTTTTATGTTTAAGTTTCGCTACCATAGCTTTTGATATTGATAGTATCACTAATTCACCTAATATTTCTTGTGATAGTCATCTTAAGAAATATTTTATCAACTTTAATTTTGAACTTTTAATTTCAAACAATCATGTTCTGCTGATTTTAATTTTTTAAGGTTAATAAAAAACTAAAAATATTTTGGTATATTTCTCATAACACAAATAGAAAAAAAATCATAATACAAATCAAGAAAAGAGGATTTTTGTTTAGTAGAGAGTGAGAGAGAGGAAGGGCATTTGTTTACTAGGAGGGAGGGAAAGGGAGGTGAAATATGTGTTTGAGTTTTTTAAAATTTGTATTTTTGACATGAGGGGAGACAGAGAGATAGAGAAATAGCGACGACAGTGGATTGAGGTGGGGCGAGAGGAGTAGTCTCCATCCCTGTATCCGCTTCAAAAATATTCATCGATTGCCTTTGGCAAAAAGAATTTTAATTCTCATCCTTGTCCCCATGGTCGCCTATAACAATTGTTTTATGATTTTAAGAACAAAAAATTTTAAAAAATCATAAAACCTCACAAAATAGATTTGCAAGAATGATGAAAACT